TCCCTAATGATAAGTGATGTTGAGCATCTTTTCATGTGACTGTTGGTTATCTTTATGTCATTTCTTCTTTCTAAAAATGTTCATGTCTTCTGCCCATTTTTTATTAGATTATTTCTTTTTTTCTGGTGTTGAGCTGTAGAAGTTCTTTGTATATTTTGGACACTAACCCCTTAGCAGATGCATCATTTGCAAATATTTTCTCCCATTGAGTAGATTGTCTTTTTGTTTTTGTTGATTGTTTCCATTGCTGTGCAGAAGCTTTTTATTTTGGTATAGTACCAGTAGTTGTTTTTGTTTGTTTAATTTTTTTGTTTGCTTGTTTGTTTTTATTTGCCTTGCCTTAGGAGACATACCTAGAAAAATGTCTCTATAGCTAATGTCAGAGAAATTATTGCTTGTGTTCTCTTCTAGGATTTTTATGGTATCATGCCTCACATTTAGGTCTTTAACCTATTTTGAGTTTATTTTTATGTGTAGTGTAAGTGTGTTACTTTCATTCTTTTGCATGCAACTGTCTAGTTTTCCCAACACCATTTTTTGAAGAGACTGTCTTTCTTCGATTGCATATTCTTGCCTCTTTAGTTGTAAATTAATTGACCATATAATCATGGGTTTATTTCTGGGCTCTCTGTTCTGTTGATCTCTGTGTCTCTTTTTGTTCCAGGACCATGCTGTTTTGAATACTACAGCTTTGTAGTTTATCTTGAAATCTGAGATTGTGATACCTCCAATTTTGTTCTTCTTTTTCAAGATTGATTTGGCTATTTTGGGTGTTTCGTAGTTCCACACAGATTTTAGAACCATTTGTTCAAATTCTGTGAAAAATACTGTTGGTATTTTGATAGGGATTGCATTAAATCTGTAGTTAATTTTGGATAGTATGGATGTTTTAACAATATTTGTTCTCCCCATTCATGAACATGGAATATCTTTCCATTTGTTTCATCTTCAGTTTCTTTTATCTGTGTTTTATAGTTTGAAGAGTACAGGTTTTTCATCTCCTTGGTTAAGTTTATTCCTAGGTATTCTATTATTTTTGGTGCAATGGTAAATGAAATTGTTTTCTTAATTTCTTTTTCTGCTACTTTATTATGAGTGTATGCAACAGGTTTCTGTATATTGTATGAGAATGTACTGTATGAGAATATTGTATTAGTATATTCTGTATGAGAATGCAACAGGTTTCTGTATATTTTATATCTTCCAACCTTACTGAATTCATTTGTCAGCTCTAGTTTTTGTGTGTGTGTATGTGTGTGTGTAATCTTCAGAGTTTTCTATATATTGTATATTGTTATCTGCAAATAATGAAAGTTTTACTTCATTACCAGTTTGGATTCCTTTTATCTCTTTTATTTGTGTGATTGCTGTGGCGAGGATTTCTAGTACTACATTTAATAAAAGTGGGGAGAGTGGAATCCTTGTCTTTCTCCTAATCTTAGGGGAAAAGCTCTCAGTTTTTTACTATTGAGTATGATGGTAGCTGTGGTTTTTGTATATGGCCTTTATTATGTTGAGATATGTTCCCTCTAAGCATACTTTCTTGAGTGCTTTATCATGAATTGATGTTATACTTTGTCACATGCTTTTTTTGCATCTATTGAAATGATCATATGGTTTTTATCCTGTCTCTTGTCGATGTGATGTATCACACTGATTGATTTGTGAATATTGAACCATCCTTGCATACCAGGAATAATTCCCACTTGATTGTGATGAATGATATTTTTAATGTATTGTTGGATTCAATTTGGTAATATTTTGTTGAGGATTTTTGCATCTATGTTCATCATAGATAATGGCCTGTAGTTCTCTTTATTTTGTAGTGTTTTTATCTGGTTTTGGTATCATGGTAATGCTGGCCTCATAGAATATATTTGGAAGCTTTGCTTTTCTATTTTTTGGAATATTTTGAGAAGAACAGGCATTAACTCTTCTTTAAATGTTTAGTAGAATTCACCAGTGAAGCCATCTGCTCTTGGACTTTGGTTGGTTGGGAGTTTTTGATTGCCTATTTAATATTTAATTTCATTGCTGGTAATTGGTCTGTTCAAATTTCTGGTTCTTCCTGATGAAGTTTTGGGAGGTTATATGTTTTCTAGGAATCTATCCATTTCTCCTAGGTTGTCTAATTTGTTGGCACATAATTTTTTTTAAGTTTATTTATTTATTTTGAGAGAGACAGAGAGAGAGAAAGAGAGAGAGCACACAAGTAGGGGAGGGACAGAGAGAGAGGAAGAGAGAGAATCCCAACCAGGCTCCACACTGTCAATGTAGAGCCTGACACAGGGCTTGAACTCAAGAACCATGAGATCATGACCTGAGTGAGAGTGAGACATTTAGCTAACTGAGCCACTCAGGTGCCTCCGTTGGCACATAATTTTTCATAATCTTCTCCTATAATCCTTTGTATATATGTGGTGTCAGTCATTGTTTCTCCTCATTCATTTCTGAATGTGTTTGAGTCCTCTCTTTCCCTTTCTCTTTCTCCCTCTCTCTCTCACCTTCTCTCTTTTCTCTCAATAAATCTGGCTAAAGGTTTATCAATTTTATTGATCTTCTCAAAGAACCAGCTTCTGGTTTTATTGATCTGTTGTTTTTTTAGTTTCTATTTTGTATATATCTACTCTAATCTTTATTACTTCCTTCCTTTTTCTGAACAACCAGTCTCTTAATGTTCTTACCTATTATGTTGAACATATGACAGTGCTGATATTTGACAGTTTTTGGTTTATAAAAACGACAAAGTCATTTGAGTCCCCCTAATAGTTAAAGAGCAAGATAGATTCTGGGAATACAAAAGTAACATAAATTATGATATGGTTCAGTTACCAAATCATGTAGCAGTTTGAAAGAATAGAATCATTCTCTTGGATGAAGAAGTTAGGAAAAATCTTTATAGAATAGATTGTCAGTTTCAAACTCTAGCTAGAGGGGCTTCTCCTGTACATTCAGGTTTATTCTTGCTACTGATAATTGAATTAACTTGGTAAGCCCATTAGGTTTTTGTCTTCCTGTAGAATTTTGTTATGTACATGTTTTTACTTCAGTATCAATTTTTGATTCCTTTGGTCTCACACTTATTCTTCCAATTCATTTTTTTTTTTTTTTTGGTTAAAAAAAATAACAAAATTTATCATCCCAACCATTTTTAAGTATACAGCTAAGTAGTGTTAAGTATATTTACACTGTTGTTAAAGAGATCTTTATAACTTTTTCATCTTGCAAAACTAAAATTCATTACCCATTAAATACCTCTGTTTCACCCTCCCTGCAGCCCCCGGTTACATCATTCTATTTTCTGTCTCTATGAAATAGACTCTGTTAGATGCCTCATATAAGTAAGGTCATAATACAGTATTTGTCTTTTTGGCTCATTTCACTTAGTGTAATGTCCTCAAGGTTCAACCATGTTGTGGCATGCAATATGATATCCTTTCCTTTTTAGTTTTTTTTCTGAGTTACTTAAATTTTTTTGACATACAAGAAGTTGTACATAACTAATGCCTACAACTTGAGGAGTTGGAGAGAAGTATATATATACCAGTATATATATACCAGTATATATATACCAGTGAACCATCATTAGTGTATGCCATAAGCCAGTCCATCACCTTTAGAAGTTTTCTCTAACCCTCTAATTTGTTATTATTATAGGTCGCTTTAGTGAGAAAACACTTAATATTAGATCTGCCTTCTTAGCAAATGTCTAAGTATACAATACAGTTTTGTTAACTGTAGGCACTATGCTATTCAGTGGATCTCTAAGACTTACTTACTTTGTGTAACTAAATATTTGCACCCTTTGATTGATATCTCCCCATTTCCTCCTCCCCCAGCCCCTGGAAAGCACCATTCCACTCTCTGCCTTTATGAGTTTGACTCTTTTATATTCATAATGTAAGTGGTATAATACAGTACTTGTTCTTCTGTGTTTGGCTTAGTTTGCTTAGCATAATGCCCTCTAGGTTCATCTGTGTTGCCAGAAATGGCAGGATTTCCTTCCCTTTTTGATGCTGAATAGTATTCCTGTGGGTGGGGAGTACACACATACCACATTTTATTTATTTGTGGGTGTTTTTTTTTTAAGATGTTTAAAAGTAATCTCTATACCCACTGTGGGGCTCAAACTCATAACCCAGAGATCAAGAGTCACACGTTCCACCAACTGAGCCAGCCAGGTGCCCCCACATTTTATATATTTGTTGATTGAGAGGCATTTAGGTTGCTTCCCATGCCTTGGCTACTCTGAATAATGCTTCAGTGAAGGTGGGAATATAGATATCCGAGATCCTGATTTCATTTCCTTTGGATATATACCCAAAGTGGGATTCCTGAATCATTTGGCAGTTCTATTATTTGTTTTTTTGAGGATCTTCCATTCTGTTTTCCATAGTAGCTGTATGAATTTACATTCTGACCAAAAATGTACCAGGGATCCCTTTTCTCCACATCCTCACCTCCACTTGTTATCTTCTTTTCTTTTTTTTGTTACCAAAGCCATCCTACCAGGTGTGAGTTGATATTTCATTGCAGTTTTAGTTTGCATTTCCCTGATGATTATTGATGTTGAGCACATTTTTCATGTATACTTGGCCATTTATGTATCTTCTTTTGAGAAATGTCTCTTCACTTCCTTTGTCCATTTTTTTTTTTAATTTTTTTTCAACGTTTATTTATTTTTGGGACAGAGAGAGACAGAGCATGAACGGGGGAGGGGCAGAGAGAGAGGGAGACACAGAATCGGAAACAGGCTCCAGGCTCTGAGCCATCAGCCCAGAGCCTGATGCGGGGCTCGAACTCACGGACCGCGAGATCGTGACCTGGCTGAAGTCGGACGCTTAACCGACTGCGCCACCCAGGCGCCCCTATTTTTAACTTTTTAAGGAACCTCTTCCTGTAGAACTTTTCGCAAATTTCATTACTATTGCTCCTGCTAAACTGTACCTGAAAATATTTATTTCTGGATTAATGCAAATTTATTTTTTTTGCATATCTAGGGCCCTTGCAGAATCTCCACCATCTATAAACAACCTGAAGAGTGAAGTTGGTGATAAAGGGAAGAATAAAGATGAAGGGGAAGTTTGTAACCATGAAAAAAAGGCTGCAGGTATTTGTCTCGAGCCTCATCCAGAAGAGAAAAAGAAGAAACGTTCTGGATTCAGAGATAGAAAAGTATGGAACACAATCTTATAAATTAATCAGAACTGTAGTTAATTACAAGTTAGAATAATGCAGTTGAGTCTCCTTTATCATTTATTTCAGATGGTTCATATTCTCTTTGCAGAGATTCACCTTTTTTGCTATTTTCTGTCATGTTCTAAGGCAAGTGTAATCTTGAAATGTGAAGTTAATGGGGGGTAGTGAAAAGATCCAAGATTGGTAATCAGGATTTGCATATATTTTCCGTTTCAATTTAACTACCTAGGTTGGTTCATACTTTCCAGATCTTTCAGATGCTAAATGTTCTAGTATATGTTGAGTCTTTGGAACGACTGATTGATGATGCCCAGTTGGAAAGGCGGGATAACATCCTTTTGGAAATATACAAATATTTCCAAAAATTCAACTAATTTTGATGATAGCATAAACTTTAAATGACTTCAATATTTTATATCTTTAACACAACCTGCTGTTACAGAGCTCTACCTCAGAAAAATTTCAATTCCGGTATAGTAATACCTTTGATATTGAGCATTTGAATTCAGCAGACATGAGTGATGAAAAGTCAAAAGGATGAATTTCATTTTGCACGATAGCATTGAAATTCAGGGAATTGCCTTCACTTGCCAAAATGTAGCTAATAAATACAACAAGATAATTTGAGTTATTTGTGTGTTGCATGTGTGTGGTATGTATTTGCAAGGAAAGTTCCTTTGAGAGATTTGTATCTTCTGTGTGTTTGTTTGGATGAAGTTATTAAATATGCCTTTTCATTTCTCTGGGTTGCCTGGGTGGGCTCAGTTAGTCAAGTATCTGATTCTTGATTTCAGCTCAGGTCATGATCTCACATTTGTGGACTCAAGCCCCACATCCAGCCCCACTGTGCTGACTGTGGAACCTGGTTCAGATTCTCTCTCTTCCTCCCCTTCTGCCTCTGTCCTGCTTGTGCTCGCTTACTAAATACATACATACATACATACATACATACATACATACATAAATAAATAAATCTTTTCATTTCTCAAATCCATTTTTCTTCTTTTAAAAATTTTAAAAAATGTTTTATTTATTCTTGAGAGAAAGAGAGAGCATGAGCTGGGGAGGGGCAGGGAGAGAGGGAGACACAGAATCTGAATCAGGCTCCAGGCTCCAAGCTGTCAGCACAGAGCCCCAAGCGAGGCTCAAACTCATGAATCATGAGATCATGATTAAGCGACACTTATCCAACTGAGCCACCCAGGCGCCCCTCAAATCCATTACTGGTTGAGGTGAATTTGAACAAAAATTATGTATTATAAGTTAAGTGTCAACTGTTGCTATTTCCAGAATGATACGTTTATTTAATCTTTTGCCCTGAGTGAATTAGAAGAAAGTTCAGACTCACCTTGTGCCAGCAGTTTCATTTATAAAGTCAAATTTTCCATTTTACAAAATAGAGCAAAACTTATCCAAATGAGCATTTATTTTTGAACTTTCCATTTTCTTCTCCTGCTTTCTGCTCAGCAATGACCATATGTCATACTTCCCAGATAAAAATGAAAGCTTGATAATTGTAATTTACTTAACTTGTAGCTCCCAAGGCTATAAAACCTTTCTAATCTGTTTCTGAAATAATTCTTTCAGTAAAGTTTTAGTGGAAGAGCTGTGTTTTCCCTATTCAGGGATAACCATTCCACATGTTATCCTGTTTCCCTAACAACCTATTTCAATACTTATTTTTTCCTCTGCCTGTTTTCTCAGCTGCTCTTTGTCTTGTCATTTTTTACATAGTCTACATGGACATGTTAAAGATTTTTCCATTTTTAATAAAATAATAAATTGCATTTTTGAGCATGTTTTGTTTTGGTTTTTTGGTTGGGTGTTTTGTTTTTTTTGTTTGTTTTTGTTTTTTTGTTTTTGCCATTCACATTCTTTCCCTGCAATACCAAACTGCTCCATTTTCCATAGGCTCTCTTTGACATCCTCCCTTTTCACTTAAATTTTTTGGCTTTGATCTTTTACATTCTCTTGATTTTTATGTAATACTTAAAATATTCAGAGAGAAAGAAATAGAGACTACTATAATGAACATACATGTATCCATCCCTCATTTTGTCAAGTTTTAACATTTGATTATATTTGCTTCATTTTTTTTCCCTTTTTTATTAAGAAACAAAATGAATATAAAAAATACATTGCTGGAGCATCTTGGTGGCTCAGCTAAGTGTCCGACTCTTGATTTTGGTTCAGGTCATGATCTCATGGTTTGTTGATTTGAGCTCCACGTTGGGCTCTGCACTGACAGTGTGGAGCCTTCTTGGGATTCTCCGTCTCCCTTTCTCTCTGTGCCTCCCTTGCTTACACGCGCTCTCTCAAAAATACATAAACTTAAAAAAAAATGCATTGCTGTATTGTCCTTAGTTCATGATTTATTAATGCCATGCATGGCCTGGTGGTTTTGTGTGATTGATTGATTGATTGATTGATTGATTTTTAAATAATATACTCACTTTTTAATTTACATCCAAGTTAGTATATAGTGCAACAATGATTTCAGGAGTAGATTCCTTAATGCCCCTTACCCATTTAGCCCATCCCCCCCTCCCACAACCCCTCCAGTAACCCTCTGTCTCCATATTTAAGAGTCTCTTATGTTTTGTCCACCTCCTGTTTTTATAAATTTTTTTAATGTTTATTTATTTTTGAGAGAGAAAGACTGAGTATGAGTAGGGGAGGGGCAGAGAGAGGGGGAGACAGAGAATCTCAAGCAGGCTCCAGGCTCTGATCTGTCAGCACAGAGCCTGATGTGGAGCTCAAACTCACAAGAACTGTGAGATCATGACCTGAGCTGAAGCCGGACACTCAAGCAACTGAACCACCCATGTGTCCCCCCGCTCCCTGATTTTATATTATTTTTGCTTTTCTTCCCTTATGTTCATCTGTTTTGTATCTTAAAGTCCTCATAGGAGTGAAGTCATATGATTTTTGTCTTTCTCTAATTTCGCTTAGCATAATACCTTCTAGTTCCATTCACATAGTTGCAAATGACAAGATTTCGTTCTTTTTGATTACTGAGTAATACTTCATTGTGTATATATATATGTATATATATATACACACCATATCTTCTTTATCCATTCATCCATCGATGGACATTTGGGGTCTTTCCATACTTTGACTATTGTCAATAGCACTGCTATAAACATTGGGGTGCATGTGCCCCTTTGAAACAGTATACCTGTATCCCTGGGATAAATACCTAGTAGTGCAATTGCTGGGTCATAGGGTAGTTCTATGTTTAATTCTTTGAGGAATCTCCATACTGTTTTCCAGAGTGGGTGCACCAGTTTACAGTCCCACCAGCAGTGCAAAAGAGATCGTCTTTCTCCACATCCTCGCCAACATCTGTTGTTGCCTGAGTTGTTAATGTTAGACATTCTGACAGGTGTGAGGTAGTATCTTGTTGTGGTTTTGATTTATATTGTGATGTGGAGCATTTTTCCATGTGTCGATTGGCCATCTGGATGTCTTCTTTGGAGAAGTGTCTTCATGTCTTTTGCCCATTTCTTCACTGGATTATTTGGTTTTTTGGGTGTTGAGTTTGATAAGTTTTCTATAGATTCTATCTGATATGTCATTTGCAAATATCTTCTCCCATTCCATCGGCTGCCTTTTAGTTTTGCTGATTGTTTCCTTTACTGTGCAGAAGATTTTTATTTTGATGAGGTCCCAATAGTTCATTTTTGTGTTTTATTTTTAATTAAAAAAAAATTCTCAGGTGCAAAGAGCTGTCACTCAGTTTATGCTATACCATTGTTGTACATGCTCCTCTGTTTAATATTTATGTTCTTTTATCTAGTTCCATTTGATTTATTTTTGATTTTTAAATTTTTAATTTTATTCCCTCTGGAACTTTAAGTCCTGAATTCAGAAAAATTTGCATACTGCTTCACTGTTGCTTCACTGTAATTTATTTTCTTTTGGAACTCTTCTTAAATGTATCTTGAATGTTCAAAACCTATACTGTATATCTTGTAGCTGTTCTGTTATATATTTTTTATTTTATTAGAGAGAGAAAGAGCACAAGCAGGGGAGAGGGGAAGCTGGAGAGAGAGAAAGAGAGAATCCTAAGCATGCTTCAGATTCAGTGCGAAGCTTGATCCCACAACCCTGGTATCATGACCTGAGTCGAAATCAAGAATTGGACGCTCAACTGACTGAGCCACCCAGGCATACATACCTGTTACAGTTTTTCTCATGAGTTCTTTTCCTAATCTCCTAGGGTCTCTTTTTTTTTTCTTCCAAATTTTTTTATGGAAATAAAATAGTTAAATCATAACATTTATCAGGCTGTGTGCTGACAGCTCAGAACCTGGAGCCTGCTCCAGATTCTGTGTCTCCCTTCTCTGCCCTTCCCTCCCTCCCTCCCTCCCTCCCTCTCTCTCTCTCTTTCTCTCTCTCTCAAAAATAAATAAACTTAAAAAAAAAATTAAGGGTGCCTGGGTGGTTCAGTCTGTTAAGTGTCTGACTCCGGTTCAGGGCATGATCTCATGAATTCGAGCCTCGCGTTGGGCTCTGTGCTGACAGCTCAGCAGCTGGAGCCTGCTTCAGATTCTGTCTCCATCTCTCTGTGCCCCTCCCCCACTCACACTCTTTCTCTCTCTCTTTCTCTCTCTCTCTCTCAAAAACAAACATTAAAAAAAATTTAAAAACATAACATTTACCACATTACCAATTTTTAAGTGTACAGTTTATCATAAAGTGTAATCATTGTCTCACCATCCATTACCGAAACTGTTTTCGTCTTATAAAATTGAAAATATATACCCACTAAACAATAACTCTTTACTACCCTCCTCTCCCAACCCCTGGAAACCACCATTCTACTTTCTCTTCATGCTTTTGAATGCTAAAAATACCTCATAGATACTGAATCATACAGTTTGTATTTTTCTGACTGGCTTATTGCACTTTATATAATGTCTTCAAGATTCATTGTGTTTTAGCATATGTCAGAATTTCCTTACTTTTGG